TAGAAATGATGTCCCCCTCACTGACAAACACACACGCTGCGTCTGGCTGATTTTTCCATCTTTGTGTTGTGACCTACAGCTTATTGGGCCAACTGTGGCATAACGAAAACATGTAATTATCACCATTTGACAATTAGCCTCTCATCCAAGTTCTGCCCCTAATTACCTATTTAACTGCTTGAGGGTGTCCGCTGTCAATCTTTGTTGCTACAGTTTCTCACAAGAATGCGAACAATTGCTGCCAGAAGTATGCCGTAAACTCCAGAGATCTGACTGTGGTTTGGGTGGAGTGTGTACATGTGTGTGGCGTTCAGGGGGAGGGAATTGGGTAACTTCGCAAAAAACTCCACATGGATTTTTTTTTTTTTTCTCTCCTTGAACGTACTTTAGTCCTGTCTCTAATTTGGAAAGCTCTTTTTTTCCCTGGACTGAGTCTAAGGATTTTTTTTCTTTTACAATACTCAGAGGAGCTGCTTTTGGAAAAAAAGGGAATACAAGAATAAATCAAACTGAACACTTTTATGGACTAAAAATGAATTTGGGCATCATGATAATTTTGTCCGATGAAATCCATTTTTTTCCTCCCAAATGCCACTTTTTTTGTTTTATTTTCACATTTCATTCACTCTTTCAGAAAAAAATACACTATGCTAATGGCACTTCATTCGTTCAAACCACAAATGAATTATTCTAATCTTTCAAACACTTGTTGAAGTCTCAGGGAGAGAAAGTCAACACAACTCGTAAAACCTTTTTTGCGACCATGCTGTCTCATCTGGCAAAACAGTTTTTTGATCATAACACTTTTGGGTCTTAAACCTTGCATGTTCTGGAGTGCTTACGGAGATAATGTGGAAAATAATAGATTGTTTTAGCTCAATAAAGAGTCATAGTCAAGGCCAGTGAATGTATGTGAAAAGTCAGACTCCTGGGGCTTTATTTCACTGCAATCTTAAAATAACTGATTTTGTAAAAGTATATTTGAAATGCTACATGGAGCATGTCTGCTGAGTAACAGACCCTCTCCAGGTTATATCACCATGTAGTGGGACTGATTAAGCAGCTAAAATATGCTTGTTATATTCCTGGATTTACATTTTATAGGGTTTCCTCAGGTTTCTGTATAACCTGAGTAAGTTATTTATAAATTTAAAATCACATAAATTAGAAAATGTATAAAGTTGTATCAAGTTTATAAATTTCAGATGAAGATTATTAAACAGGCCAAGTTTTAGTGGTTTGTATGTGCAGCACAGTGGCTGTTGTATGTTTGAGGAACTTGTCTGTTTTTGAGTGAAAATCTGTTTCTTCTCTCTGCTGAAAAAGCGGGGAGTGTTTGTACAACTGCAGCAGCCGATTAAGTCTCAAATTGCTACAGATGAGACATGGGCTGCATCTGAAACTGCCACATTAGAACCACCATAATAAGATGTTTATGGGAACAATGAACAAAACAAATCCATAACATGCAAGATTTTCTCTAAGTGGACTTGACCGCTCACACTACCAGGACATGAACATGCAGTTTTAGGGAGAATCTCCCAAAAAGATGGATGTAAGGTTAGAGAAATCCTGGACACATATTCACAGAGAGACTGGCAGTAGAATCAGCAGTATTGCTGTCTCCTCTTTGTGACCTGCCTTGTCTTTTGGAACCAGATTCTTTCACTTCTCCCCACCTCATGTCACTTTCCCACTCTCACTCTTTTTCTTACTTTATGCCATTAGCAGCTTTTGGCTGTCTCACTGCTGCTCCTTTGCCAATTTTATTTATTTATTTTCCTGGCAGTTCATTCAACTGATAACACAAACCCGATACACGCTTGTGAATGCTCATCAGGTGTAAGGTGGGTGTGTTTGCCGCAGAGGTGTCACTTTGTGTGTGTGTTTGTGAGGCATGTTACAAATGCCTGTCCTGTCCCTTTTTATGAGCTCACTCACCCAAACATCCTCTGGCTCATTTGCAGTCAGGGCCACCAGCTATTATTCTGACTGCTGAGGCACACAGAGAAGGCCAGCTAAAACATCACACAAACATACATGCATGCATTCTCGCTGTAATTCTCATGCTGTCTCTTGCTCACACACGCACATCCACGCAAACAGTGTGTGCACTAACACAGAAGCTGGGCCAAGCGGATGGGAGGATGTGAACATCAAGTCGGTGACATTTTGAGGCAGTAAGAGAGATGCATGGCTCTGCCTGGACCTCCATAGACATGTTTTAAATGAAATGTTACAGATGAGTTCCTCACTGCCTCGGCTGTAAACACCCTTACCCTTGTATTTACCCTACACGGGTAAACTGAAAGAGGGGAACAAAAAAAACTTAACATGGCTCATGCTCATATATACACAAATGTGTATTAATATACAGAGCAGGGCCTGAGGAACTTGCATAATGACAATAATGAGAGATGGCTTGGCTCAATTTGTAGATTGATTGTTGCATTAAGCATTCCATTATACAAACATTCAGATGAAGTGACAAGTGAGCACAACCGGCCCATATTCTGCTCAAATTGCTATTTGATCCTCAGAACAAGTGAATTCGGGTCGTGCTGGATCTCTGCACTGGGATACGCTCCCGCCGATCTGCAGCCTGCATCCAGAGTGGTTTTGCAGAACTTAATGTTTATTTAGAATACCAAGAGGACATTCTGTACACTCACCAACTTCTTAATTAGGTAAAATTTACAAATCACCCAGTCATATGGCAGCAATTCAGAGCATTGAGGCATCTCAATGTGGTGAAGGCAACTGGCGGAGCATCAGAATGAGGGCGAAAGGGTATTTATGTTGTTCTGAATGTGCAAACCACATTCATGGTTGCTCATCCAATTCCTTGTTGACATCAGAATAGAATTGACTGACTATTTCAATGTGATAGAAAGGGAATATTTCCTCAAATAACTATTTGCTATAGCCAAGTTTGCAGGGTACTGTTTCTGGGTGCACCACATGCCAAACTTTGATGCAGATAGACGACAGCAGAAGGAGACCACACAGGACTCCACTCCTGTAAGCTTAGAACATGAAACCTGAAGCTACAGTTTAGGCTCCACAAAACTGAACAATCACAGATAGAAAGACATTGACGGGTCCGATGAGTTCCCATGTCTGCTGCATGTTCAGGGTCAGAGTTTGCCAAGAACCTCTTTCATCAAGGAAGGAAGGACTTAGTTTGCAACTATAACACAAAAGAATCATAAGTAAAATCTTGATATACAAATACTTTTCCAATCTCGTATTTCTTTTTTGGATAAACTCCCACAGCATTTTTAAGAGTAATTTGTCGAATCAAACAGAAAGCAAATAAGTGAAAGATGAAGGAAATTATGACATTATAATGTATATGTTTATCAACTGCATCTGAGGATGTTTGAAATATTTATTGAAAAATCAATAAATATTTTCCCTTCTGGTGTAATTTTCACTATCTTGTGAGGACTCATTAGCATGCCTTAGTTCTTTACACCATAAATCTTGAAGCTTTGGAGTTTATAGGATAAAATTATTTATGTTTCTTGCTTGCTCTGCATGTAATTAGAGCACTTGTAGAGTTTCTTCAGAGTTTTTTAAACTTCTTGTAACCTTATTGTCTTATAACGTCAAAGGGTGGCTCTGAAATATTAAGTCATGTCTCCTGCCTTGCTTTCAGTTAGCCTCAGATAACAGATATATTTAGTATGTCTCTTGAGATCAGAATAGGACGGAAAAGCTTTTTTTTTTGTGAAACCCATATATTCATCACATATTATTATATATCTAAAATATTTCAGTTTTTTTTTCATGATTAGCTATTGAAACTCTCCAATTCTTATTTATTTTTCAACAAATAAGAATGTTGCTTGAGATTGATTCAAATTAGATTTTTAATATAAAAAACAGTATGTCCATACACTGAACAGAATATGCACTAAGTACTTCTTCTCTAATATTTTGTTCCTTTTAGAAAAATTATTGCATCAATGGAGTGAGGCTGTGGCTGTTTTTGTTATTTTTGCTAATTTTCTACTGTATATTTTTCCTTCCACTAAATATTCCATTAACATGCTAGAATGCAGCACTGTGTAAACCACCAGTTTAATTAGCAATGACCTCAAGAATAAAAATAGATGCAATATGTTCATAATGGTGTTACTTAATCTTTATAGTATCTGAACTTTTAATTTACTGCCATGAACCTGTACACTTGACAACTCTGTACATACCAGTCATAGCGTGTTTCAACATTACAGTCTGAGGAATGTGAAATGAGGAAGATGTGAAACATTTTTGCTCAGTAACCAATAAATGACCAATACATGAAAAAATGAAAATCCCTCCTTGATAAACAGGAATATGATCAACACTGAAACAGCTCTAATTCGGTCCACAGATGAGATGTCAGTTTGATGGGGGACAGAGAAGAAATAGTCTCTGTGTGTGTGCTGACGGTGACAGCGTGTGGCCTTTGATGAAACTCCCTGTACATATTGCAACCCTGTAACCCTGCACAGCCTGTTCTAGATCATTGCTGCTGTAAAGATGCTTCACTGCGCAGCCCTCAGAGACAGCTTGGCTCCGTATTTTTCCTATCGTGACATTTACGGACTTACCATTCTGCAATCCTGTATCCTTCTGACCAGGTCTATTTTACACTCACTTTTTTTTTTCAGTAGCAACCTCAAGTAAACGTTTTCATTTTCTTCAGAGATCTAAAAATCTGTTTACTTGCTAGGATATTTTCTCTGGGCCAGATCCTCGTTTGCTATGATTTAGATGGAATGCGGTGGTATGTGTGAGTAAATACGTATTGCAGGACAAAGATTTATAGATAAACCAACTCATCTAAAGCTATTGGACCACAAGAATGAGTGTGCATGTGCTTATAAATGTTTCACGTACAAAAGGATATAAAAGGAGTTTGAGTTTATTCTGAATTCAAATGCAGTTTGAAAATGTTCAGGCAACTTTTAAAGCACATATGAACCCTTTCTGTTCTTCTTCTCATCCAGGTTCCACCGTGGTGATTATCACATCGATGTGTGCATAAATGACTACCTGGATGTCTACTGTCCTCATTATGAGGACTCCGTGCCTGAGGAGCGGACAGAGCGCTATGTTCTCTACATGGTGAACTATGATGGCTACAGCACATGCGACCACACCGCCAAGGGCTTCAAGCGCTGGGAGTGCAACAGGCCGCACTCCCCCAACGGGCCGCTAAAGTTTTCAGAGAAGTTCCAGCTCTTCACTCCCTTTTCTTTGGGCTTCGAGTTTCGACCAGGCAGAGAATATTATTACATCTGTGAGTACCTGCCATCCTTACTCACAGAGCTTTGACAAAGGAATTATAACATTTTGTCACATTAACCTTTGATGTATAATTAATTTTTTGTTTAATTTCTTTGGTAGAGAAACTCTAAGTAGAGCATTAATTTGACTTTGAAGCACAAGAATACATGGTCTTTAATTTGGCAACAACAAATAATCATGAAAAATGGGGTGTGCATTTGTTTTCAAGGCCTTTTTGAACAAACAGCATCATGAACAAACAACATTTCAACCCTCACATACATTTATAGAAGTGAAAAATATGAATTGACATAACGTAACTTGACCTGACTGTCAAAGTTGCACCACTCTTCCCAGACTTAAGGTTTCTCAAAGGCATACTATTCCTCAGCCCGAATTTCTGTGTGCTCAATGCAGAGCATTGAAAGTGGCATGGCAGCGATCCTAGCAAATGCTTCAGCCAAGCTTTTCACACCATTCCTGTTGCTCATAGAAAACTCTTTTTCTTCCCTAAAATGGATGTGGAATTCATAGGGGAGTCCAAACTGAGACAGTTTGAAAGTTACAGCTCACTTTCTCCAGCTGCACAAAACCACATCTCAAAGAGGAGGGCCTGTCCGTCCGTCTATATTCTGCATTCATTCTCTGCCTCCTGTTCTGCTCTGTGGTATATGTTACGTCGTCTGCTTCTTTGACAGTGGAACTGAGCCAAACTGAGTTCATCTAAAGTTAAAACTCCTGGGAAATTAGGTTTTATCAAAGCCAGGGTAATGGAGTAGAATGGAATGGAGCTGTTTTCCCCCACCACAGACTACACCCACGGTTAGCCAGAGGAACCACTGTCAGGTGATGTGTTTGCTGCTGTGTCTTTACAACACATTGGTCTCAAGAATATCTTGATTATTGCAAAATAGATGTAATGCTTGATTTTAGAGCGCACGTGTCAAACTCAAGGCCCACAGGTCAAATCCAGCCCCTATAGTTATTTAAACTTTGAGAAGCAGTGAAACTTTGATACTTTAACAGTTTATCAGTACCAGTAGTTTTATAAATACATTCTACCACAACTGGCCCCAAGAGGACATTAATGATCTTAATGTAACCTCAATAAAAATTAGTTTCACAGCCCTGACATGGAGAAAGTGACAAGGAAAGGAAAAGGTTATTTAGGAGTATCATAGTAAATACAACACAATACAGATGCAAGAAATATTTTCAGATTTTTATTCTACAAAAACACTAAGGGAAACCCATGTATCATTTTACTTTCGCTTCACAGCAGTGCACTACTTTCTCTAGGTCTATCACATTAAATCCCTATCAAGTATGTTAACGTTTGTGGTTGCAATTTCACACAATGTGAAAACATTCAGGATGTATGGTGACTTTTGCAAGGCACTGTAGCTCAATTACCTTGCCTGCTTCCTTCACATTTTTCCCTCGTTATTTTTGAAAACTGAGCCAAAACTCTGATCTGCTTTATAAATTGGCACCTTTCTTTATGAAGCAGTTAACCTGACAGCCAGCCAAGAGCTCTGCGCTGTATTTATTTCATGTTTTGCTCTTTGACCATACTCTGCTGTAATTCATAGTTGCGAGATGAGGTGTGCTAAGTACATCAAATCCCACAGCTCTCTCAGTGGTGTGTCTCCTGTGTATGGCTACAAACCAGTCTGTATCTTTCCTCTCTGTCCTTTCAAGAACCTGATGTTTGCTCCATTTGTCTGTTATAAGGTAACCAGATTTTCTTCGGCTTTTACAGGCAATTTGCAATCCACCAAATGAGATGGGGGTTGAAATGAAAGTCTCGCAATTTGGGAGCATGGATAGGTGTTAGTGTACAGTTATAAAATTTTTCCTCTCCTCCCCAAAGTCTCCAACATTTTTTTTTCCATTTCTGTTGAGAGATGCTTGTCCTAAGGGCTAGATTAAATTACACTGCGACCGACAGGGTTTCCATGGAATGCATCCATTCCATTTTGCCATAGTCTGCCATATTGGTTTAGTGGCCTGCGGCTTCATTGGCTATTGAATGATTCTAGTGTATAGCCTTGCTGGCTACTGTTGCGGATATTAAAGTCATCCACCATGAAGCCATCTGACGTGATATTCCACCTGCCTTTTTGTCAGACTTGGTTCCTCATGAAAAGCTAAGGAGATAAATCTGATGGATTGGACAATCACTTTAGAGGACAAAATGTAAAGCTGAAGGAGGAATATTGGAAGGAAATGACATTACAGTATCCGCCAATTCATCTGCAGGTTTTATCTTCATCATCCACCACCTTCATTGTCAGGCCTACTCTTGTAGTTTATGAGAATGTTTCATCACCTTACATAAACCCGAAACCCAATATTTGCATACAATGGCTGTCAATATATCAAGCTACAGGTTTCCTGTTTTAGCTCTGCCAGTAATAAGTAAATGCAATTATTTCTATTTGCTAAAAGCAAGAATAACCAGAGACAGAAAGTTTTAAAAGTTAGGAATTTCCATATAGTACATCGTATTTGGTAGACTTGCTTTTTAAACTGAATGAATGAGCTCAGACATATTGGGTATCTTTCCACAGGCTTCTCTCAAAAAATTGTTATTGTTTTGATAAATTAAATCAAATTATTAAATTACAAAAAATGATCAAAATTCAATTACAACACTTTTTTTCAAAAGGGAAATACCTGATTACTGCATAATATTAATCTGTCTAATCTTTTCAGGGATTACATATTTGGCATGGTATTACTATAATAGGGTTCTAGAGAACACAAAGAACCAAGCTGAAAACACTGACTCAGACTCAATTATCTTTTGTCACTAATCCTACAAAAGTGAGGATGTCATTTTTTCTTTTTTATTATTTCTTTTTTAAAATCAGAAATTTTTGTTAACGACAATTTCTGTTGCTTTTAAAAGTGAAGATAATGTGATGGTTTAGAAAGTTACTAAATTAATTTATATTACATCAATTATAGTCACATTTATGGATGTACTAAGTGGATGCACACTTCTTCATTGTGGATGTCATGGAAAAAGGAAAACAAATCAGCCAGCATATCGGAAATAGAATTGTGGTCATCCACAAGTCTACTTCATCATGGGTATAATTTCCAGAATGTGCAATATTAATCTGTTCAAACAATTATATGCACTAGAAACACCATGGGAATGTCTATTCATTATGTAGTTCAGCTATTAGATAGATTCTCTATTCCAGATGACGTGTTTTGTTGCAAAATGTGTATTTCTACCCCAGAACAAAAGACCATTAACTTAAATCTGTAAGACATTGTCATCATCAATAATGAAACAAGCCTGGTACCAAAGATTCAAAGATAAACCCACTAAGGAAAAAAGAAAACAATCAGTACTCCGTTACACCCATTCTGTCGAGACAAATGGGACAAAATTATTATTTAAAACCAGAGCTGATTTTTACTGTTAGGACATTAATCTTTTCCTCATCTATATTAACTTTCTGTAGCCAAATGACTAGGGGGAAACTGAAAAGTGAAAACTTTGTCCTCCCCAAGAAATTAAGATGTCAAAACAATTTCCAGCAGAAAAAAATATCCACTAATGCTGCTTTGTTGTTATCTGCTGCAACAACAAAAATGGCTTAATCAAAGAGTGCAGGACTCAGGAAATTCACACAAATGGAGGTCATTTTTTATATTTTTTTGTATGTGTCAGCTTTTCGTCTTTGTCTGAGGCAGCTAATTGGAGATAATAAGAGCAGTAGAATTGGATAGGAGCCTGGATTTCTTGTGGACAACACTGGCTTCCCATTAGATCAATGCAAAAGGGAAAGACTTAACAGAAAAGTACAAAAAGAAGGTAAAATTTGACAGATTTGAGGATATCCAAAGATGAAAGTAATCTGGTTCCATATGCAACTAATTCAGCAAATCACAGCATTAGTCGTGGGTGAGTTACAGCTCTGAAGAGTCTGTCCATATCAGTCACAGACGTGATATGTGAGGACGGTGTGAAAACTTGGGTCATAGTTCACAGTGCATTCTCGGTTTAAGTGAAATCCGCCTTGCAGAACGCTGACGGGAGCACATTTTTCTAATACGGCCAGAATCCACAAGATTGTATTTGAACGATTTTAATCTGAAAAGGGCAGAAATCCAATATCAGTGGCAGCTCACTGCGAGGGATGAGTGAGAGGAGTTATGGCGTCTTTAGGCATATAAGATTTGTGGAAAGCAGGAAACGACTTGCTGTGATCCTCCGGTGGCAGATTGCCAGCTGAAAGCGTGTTTTCTCACTGACTGATTCGCCTGCCCGCGTGGACTGGAGGTGCTTCTGGAACAATCAATAACACCTCTGTGTACCTATGAAGTCCCAGGGATAGTCTGAGGCTGATACCAAATGATCTCCTTCTAAACGCTCATCAAAACCCAGAGGGCGGTGATGAATCTGCCCACCTTAGATTATAAAATGAAAAAACATTCAGTGAGGTTTAAATCACTCTGGAGATGACTGTGGGCCAATATCCCTGTTGAAGAGGCATATGCCAGGAATCTGATGGTATAACCTTGAGGAAAATACCACAGTTTCACTGTATTACAGTATTTAAATAAAAATGTGAAACTAAAATGTATGACATGTTTGACAAGGCTTTTATTTTAGCCTTGTCTGAGTGGCCATCATGCATCACTGGCTGTTCTTATTTTTTTTTTGAAACAGTGGACATAGTAGTCCACTGTTCTGAAGAAATGCTTCAAGTGCAGTAATTATTTAAATAGACACAAATATCTGCCTGTTTTAACATTGTAGTAAGTTTTTCTTGATTGTGGATTGTGGAATGCTAATTTGCAAAACATGACAAAAAATTCTGCAGGAAACTGGAGCTAATATCTGAGTCTGAGTTTGATACCAGTGACAGTGTACGTCGATGTGTAAAAAACTGAAGGACTGGTCTATTCTAGAGGTAATGATTGATGAGCTGAGGTTGTTAAGGGTGATACGGATGCAACAGTATCTGAAGATGTTGATGAAACTCAGGT